ATATATATATATATACACTAGAAGACAAACCACTAACCATTCAATTGAGTTGAATTTCCTTTCATAATGACAATTTCATCCTTTAATGCCGCTCCATTCTTATGTACAAAATGTAATGAGCACAAGCACTTCAACAGAAGTTCTAACCGAAAGCAAAGTCAGTTTAGTGAAGTTGAAAAATAACAACTTTTCCAGCTCAAGCTCAAGCGCAGCTCTTTGGACACCATCTGTACGGCTGTGATTCTCATTTATATTAGTTATTATAGATGCTGTTAATAGAGCTTAACTTGTATTTAACCCAGAATATTGCTTTAAACCAGTGTGAACCAGCTTAGATTGTAGACTGAACTGAACTGGTCGTTTAAGCTGGTTCTTCTGTGCTGCTAACTCTTCAGTCCTCTCCGAGCCTGTTTTAGCAACGCGTCGAAGTCGAACGACTCGCATCGGCTCCTGGATGCTGGAGCGGCATCCCGGCTGGAATCTAGACGACAGAACAAGAAACCAGAAATGAGGCTAAATCCAAACATCCTTGTTTTTATGCTGCATTAAAGCATCAGAGTGTCACACAAAATAACCGTTCTGATTGGGGAAAGAATCCAATTGAGATTTTTCTGATAAAAATTGTGATTATATATCAATATAGCTATAAAATAATAATAATAATTATTATTACTACTACTACTAAATTAAAACTAATTACTAAAAGACAAATAAAAAAATATTAGTATTGTAATATATCAACTGTAAAATTACAATATTACTATTTATGGCTCTCTTAAGATCTTCATTTTCAAACGTTAAACCATCAGTGGTAATTATTATTATTATTAAATAAAAAATAAGAAATATGAATATTGTAATATTTCACTGTAAAATAAAAATTAAGAAAACTTTATTTTACATTACATCTGTAAAAATTACAATAAAATTGTATTAAATAAAAAAAATTAAAAAAATATTGTAATATTTATGTCTGTCTTAATTTCTTCATTTTAAAACATTAAACCACTGATTATTATTATTACTACTAAATAAAATAAAAAAATACAAAATATTTTTTTTTTTATATTGTAATATAAAATAATAATAAACAATAAAAAAATGTGTATTTGAGAAAAATAGTGTTATAATAATTTTATTTTATATTAGAGCTGTGAAATGACTACTGGTATTTACGGCTAATTATGTCCTAATTTCTTAATTTTCACTCTGAAACACGCAGCGCATATATCCATTTAATTAAATCGCACCCTAAGTCAATGTGTGATTTACTCTGTTACTCTTAACAGACAATGCAAAACGGTATTTCTCCTCATATCAGAAAAAAAAAAAACGGCACAACAAAGTAATATGAAATGAGAAATCGTTCAGGAGACCAACCTAAATCTGCATAGTTGGATTTGCAAAACTGTCGTCTGCCGCCAAAGCAGATGTCGAAGGGAAGCTCGTCTGGGCGCCTCAGTTTACCGCCGCTCTCAATAGCTGCGTAAGCGTCGTCTGTGCTGTGATACGTGACGAAGCCGTAGTTGTCTCTACAAGAAGAGAACAGAAAGACAGAAACACACTGAGAAAATATATCAGCTCAGATTACAGAAGCTGAAGCTGAGGCTCAAACACTTGTTTTCTGACAGTGATGCAACAAAATTAATTACATTATTTAGTATTAGTACAACTACTGAATGAAAACATAAAAAATAAAAATAAGAAATATTACTATTGTAATATTTGACTGTAAAATAAAAAATCGAGTATTTAAGAAAAATATATATTTTACACTACAACAGTAAAATTACATTATTAATATTTATGGATGTTTATTTTACGAAATAAAGAATCGAATATGATTAATACTACTAAATAAAAACAGAAATTACTAAATGAAAACAAAATAAATATTACTACTGTATTTCATTTATGTATCCTCTTTATTATTAATGTAAATCAAATTTTAAAATATTTTTAGTCTCTATTTTTATTTCTTGTAATTATTTTATGATTATTTAATTCCTTTTTTATGTAAAGCACTTTCAATAACCTTTGTGTATGAAGTGTGCTATATAAATAAACTTGCCTTGCTGTAATATTTCGCTATAAAATAAAAAAATCAAGTATTTCAGAAAAATA